GGCAGATAAGACATGTTCAGATACTCGAAGCCAGAAGAATTCCAGCATTTCGAAGACCTCTTAAAAGTCGTCGTTCTTCTGTCAGTTTGCGATGGCGTAGAAGTTGGGAGACTTACATGAATAGGAATGGGAGGACGTGTAGAGAAAAAAAAAGCGTAGGAATCAGTAGGCTTATAGTACGCTGAGGTCTATAGAGTTCACGGTGACAGTGAGATGCTAGAAGTGCATCAGATGCTTGGATGAAAGTTAAGAGAAAAAAAGGAAAACAGTTCAGATAGGGGCATATCGGTGACACCTACGCAATTATCGATATATTTCGAGGAGCCTACCGGTATATGCACGACGCATCTGGTGCTCGAGGCAGGCATAGCTGGGTCCCATCTTGGTCTCCATAGCGACGCCGTTGAAATAATGACCATTAAACTCAAGACGTGTAGAGTAAGCACTAACTCTGCCAGACAAATCAGGGGTCAGTGGCTATGGCAGGACTGACTCTCTGATCTAGAAAGAACAGCAAAGCATGGAGACCATAAGTGAAGATGAGGTACCGGATAGATAGAGTAGGAGAAGGGATAGATAGATATCAAGATGAACCCAATGAGATAGTTAACCCCTCCGAGAACCAGACGGTAGAGTCAATATTCAACACGCGATATCAACACATTGCCGAAGAATCCTCTAGCAGTGTGCCAAGGTCGTGTGACTGGAGGTCGTCCAACCGTAAAGGCAGTTCGGCTCTATGTTGATCACATCACTAATCGATGGCCGACGTGTCAATACGTAAAATTTAGCGCCGATGCACCAATAGGACACACCCCCTCCCCTCCCACACAATCCCTTATGTTACAGAGGTAGCTGTATCTCTTTGTCTAACTCATTTCATCAAATGGATCCATGGGCGTCGAGGGGAAGGGGGTTGCCAAACCTAGGGTAGTGAACGAGACTAAATAACCGTAAATCTTGTTTTAGTCTGCTTGATTAATCAAAATAAATTAACTACACATAGTAGACATGTCTTAACTGCCATTACTGCATGTAAATACTAATTTTGAGGAGTAGGCAGCGGGATCTTTGAGCCAGGAGATTTTGCGTCTTGTGCCTAGGATTCGAACTAAAGAGAACTTTGATGTATGCTGAAGGCGGTCATTGGTCTTCTTGAAAATTTACTGTAAAGGGGGGGGGGGGGGGGGGGCTTTATCCATGTTAATGGGGAAGGAGGTGCCTCAAGGTTCGCGACCACTCCCCCTCACGTTCCTGCGCCTCAGATTAGATTGGAGGTGCGCAGAAGCTATTGTCGCCGATTCATAACTTGTCATTAACAGATAGCGTTATTACTGTCGATATCACTTGGCGGGCAACATGTTTTGTTCCTGCTTGTCCACTTTTGAGCATACGGTTGGCGTGCTGTTACGAATCGGGATACGTGTCTATTGTACTTCTAGTTGATGTATTCGCGCCTGAAGTAAACAGCAGTTAGTAAGGTATTTAATATATACTTATATTTGTAATTTAAAAAACTAGTACAAGCCTTTTTTTTTTTTTTTTGAAACTAATACCTTTCTACATCTGTCTCATTAAAAAAACCACGGAGTTTATCTAAGCATATCTTTGCGTCTGTAAAACTAGTATTAGGCATGCTAGTGAAGTTTTATATTTTGGGTTTTTACTTACGAAATCATAACAGCTAATTAAAGATTAAAATTACAAATCCAATGGTACCTCATTTAAGCTTGTAAGTCGATTCTAAGGGGAGATATTAACATATTGTAAAACTACAGTAGAACCTCCCTAGTTGACCACCTCATTGATTGCAGCAGACACCCAATTAGTCGCCTGTTATGACATGCTTATAAAGGGCAGGGATCTATTTTCACTCCCCAACCCACCCCATGGAGCCTCATGACTTGGATCACTGTACAACTATTATCTATGAGTATCTGTAAAATATTACTTTTATTGCACACAAAACAAAAAAAAGCATTGTGGGCAACCCAGTGTGCTTGGGAATCTCTAACAACCACTCACTGAAATCACATTTTTATTGGTCCTTTTCAAGTTTCCCGGTCCATCTACACTCTGATTGACCTTTCATTCATGCTTTCTATTGACTGTCCCTGGATAGATCAGTGGGAGTAGGAGTGCACGTTGTACTTCACCTCAGAGAAACTATACTATTATCCGGGCCATGTTGATCTCAGATAAAGTCCTTGTATATCAAACAAAACGCTACATTTGGCTCGTTGTAAATACACAACAGCTGCACTTAGTACCCACAGGAGTAGGAGAAGGGCCCTAGATATCAGCCTGAACCCAATGAGATAGTTAACCCCTCCGACTTTCTCCTCTCCTGGTATAGACAGTATTAATGTGCACCCCCAAATGTAATTTTGTCTAAGACTTAGAAAACGGGTAAGACTGGGTCTTGGAATTTAATAAACGATGTTTATAAAACTTGACATAAGTTACTTACCAACATCCGTTTCAATGAAATAACCCGTTTGTAGTGTTTACACTGCGAGTAACTGGCTAATGGAGATAGTGGGGAGACTGTTCAGCTAGAAAACAGTGTCGTGGGATTAGAGTGGACTGATCATGGTGATAAGTTGACGAAAAAGGAGTGCACGTCTTTCATACAGATCCTCTGACAGCCGTGAGGTGCTGTCAGAGCTCTTCCATCAACATCTCCGCCTGTTTCAGCTGGAGTTTTCTGCCTGTTTAAGCGCCGATCTCCAACAACGTAGGTCCATGCATGTGACAGTCTAGTTCTATCAGAGCAGACGTCTTCACCCCGACGGGAGCTGGAAACGTTTCAGCAATTGCCAAACAAGACTCAACCAGTGAGAAATACTTTCTACTGTAGGTCTGAGTTTGTGGCTAGCTGGCGGCACTATGAGGTAAATTTAAAATGCTCGCAGTATAAGTATCTAGCTATTGTCCAAATGAAACTCCTCAGCTTTCTAGTATCCAACCGTTTTGGCACAAAATCAATGGCAAACTACTGAATGTAACATTGCCTAAATACAATCCTAGGTTGGTTGTAACGGATACGCTACTAACTTTATTATTATTGTTTTTAGAACAAAACATGTTTGTTTTTTTTCACAGATGGATGGAGATGTATTTCAAAAGGTTGATAAGGATGAAATTTCATTAGCAGACGACTGTGAATATGTTACCGAGGGAAACCCGGAACTTGAGACATCAAATCGAAAAAGGGGAAGTATGTTTAACAAAGATTGAAAGTTTCGAGTAAATTTTTTTTAATGATAATTAAAACACACACAAAAGCATTTATGGATCAGTTGTGGTTGTAGTTATCTTTCCTTCCTTTTTGTGTGTGATGATTCTCCCTCTCTCTCTCTCTCTCTCCTTTTTTTCTCTCTTATGATTTTTCTCATCTATCCAAATCCCTCATTCTTCTTCTTCTCCTCCCCCTCCGTCTCTTCCCTTCATCGATGTTTGTTGGTATATGTCAGGAGAAAAGTCTGTTAATGTTGATTTAAAACAAAATCTTCGACATTTGACCGTAGTATTCTCCACTATTATTCCCCAAAAGCTTACCTGATACAACTAAATATTGTACTGGTAACGAAACAAACAAATAATACTTCTGAACTATTGAGTTTAAACTTCTGAGAAAAGGACCCTGGTTTTTATATACCAAAAGACGCACAGGTCTTAACAGGAGTCGGCTTTCTTGATTACAAAAGCAAGTTGTGTACACACACACGCATCTATCTATTAATGTAAGGTGGGTGAATTTTACGCTCGTCTCCCCATTAGCACATCACCGGTTGTAGGTCAACTCCATTGATAAGTTGGTTGAACTAGTCTACAGTTGTCGAGGTAAGCCACATTTCTCCCAGATTAACGGTATCTATAATGGAATCAAGGCCGAAGGGTTGCGATATCCATAGTACCGAGCCAAAGGGTTTACAACTCATGGTTTCTGGATACGTAAAAAAAAAAAAAAATGGGTGTCGCAGTCTGTTTTTGTCTGCTATTAACGTTTTTATTTTCGAGCAAGAGACGGCCTGTGAAATATGTTTTGTCACTCTCTAGGGGCGTTGTGTGTTAGAACCAGTATCTAAATGTTTTAGGAGTGTTAAAAGCTCTAGCGTATTGAATTATACAACACTTGGTATGAACGCGAGTGCGCAATATCCCCGTGACCTTGTGTGACAGTCGGATCGCTCGAGGCCGACTTATCAGGACTAAGCAGGTCAGTAGGTGTATCAGTGTGCTAATGGGCAGACAAGCGTAAAATTTATCTTAAGGTGAATTTGTACACAGCATAAATAAAAAAGAATGAGTATATGTGGGGGATGTGAGTACATGTAATACCATCTTATATGAGTTTGTATGTGTGTGAGGGATTACGCTCGCAATGTTGTTTAATTGAATCAGAGCAGGTGTTAAGTGTGTGTATGTACAAACGCCAGTTTGCGTTTGTTTTGTTTGTGATTACACCTACTGTCCAAAAAACTAACTTCTTTCTTTTGCCTGATGTCTTTGGTATACATTTCAATGTCGGTGGTGCCGTAGAGTAAACTTTCCACTGTTGTTCTTTCTGCACAAAATGTTTGCCTCAGTGTGTCATGTTCGGCGCAGTCCCGGAGTACGTGTTCTGCTGTCTGGGGAAACTTTCCACGTGTACATGTGCTTGAGTATTCGGTTGTGTACTGTACCGAGGCACAGGATAATGACTTGTTATGATAGCAGAGTAGTTGCCTTGTGCTGAGGCTGGTGGTGAGTGAATGACATCCACCCCCCTCCCCTTCCGATAATCACACGGTAACACAAAGTGCAACTGTTCGGACGGGCACACGTCCCAGAAACCCCGTTCAACCGTTAGGTTATATTAGGGCCCCTGACTACAGCCGGGGTGGGACATTAAAATAACAACAAAAAAATGGCCCCCTATATTGGGGCGAGGTGGTTTTCTGATCGACTTAACGATCCCTTTCTGTTGGTGGTACGCAACTAACTGATATCATTAGTTTCCCGCCAGTTTTCTGAAGATTTTGCCTGCTCGGTATGTTTTCTGCTCGCGGTCCAACCGACATCTCTTCAGTGTGGACATACCTTCTGCCGCCCGTGTCTTGCTAAGTGGTACCTTGCGTCTGGGAAGAAACAATGTCCGTTGTGTAGTCAAGCATACCATGGACATCCGAAGATCAATATCCATATCAAGTTAGTACTACTAGTCCATTATTTGTCTTCTTTGTTGTTGTTGTTGTTGTTTTATTTCTTCTTCGTGTTCTTGTTGTTGTTGTTTTTCTTCTTCTTCTTCTTCTTCTCTTCTTCTTCTTCTTCTTCTTCTTCTTCTTCTTCTTCTTCTTCTTCTTCTTCTTCTTCTTCTTCTTCTTCTTCTTCTTCTTCTTCTCTTCTTCTTCTTCTTCTTCTTCTTCTTCTCCGAATTATCTTTCTACCGTTTTCTTGGTATGGTTAGTGGTCTACTCCATTTTTGCAGTTTATGTCTGCTACCTCCCTATGTCCTAATCATTACAGTCTCTAGTCCTCACGAAAATTGACTTGGGCTCAAGTGTCGACCCTGCTAAATATTGATACTAGGAAATATGCTGTGGAAATAAGGAAGATATTCTCCACTTCACCCATATTGAAAACTGTGGATCTGGGAAAATACGCCAATTGCGTCTGTAGCCGTGAAAAAGTCTCTTACACCAAAAGTGTCTCTTTCACCCAACCTTCTTTCTTTCTTTCTTTCTTTCTTTCTTTTTCTTTCTTTCTTTCTTTCTTTCTTTCTTTCTTTCTTTCTTTTTCGTTTTTTTTCTGTCTGTTTGTCTTGTCTTTTTTTCTTCTTTATTTCTGTCTGTCTTTCTTTCAACTGCCAACTGACTGTTTCAACTAAGTGTCAGTTTTGACATTATCAAAGGCTTACGTACGAAAAATTAACACATGTGTAATGAGATGCCTGAGAAAAGCCGCCGACTTAACCATCCGAGATAATGTTAAAAATAATATATCAAACAAACTGTAGGAACACCATGCAGCAAATTCATTAAAAAACAGAAGATGAAATGGTTTGGTCACTGAGTTAGAATGCAGCGAGAGCAACTACCAACGCGGGCGCTTCACGTGAAAAGATCTGAAGCCCTAGGAGAAAGTGGATTAGTGACATTAAAGAGCTTCTATAATTACACGGAATAACAAAAGCCATTGCTGCCTATCAAGCAACGGATCGCAAACTGTTTATCCCCACAACGCTTAATGGCAGAAATGACAATTTAAGATGATGGTGATGAATTAACTGTTTTTGATTAGACATAGGCTCATTGTTCATGTGTGTTTGTATTCTCGTAATTTTATGAACAGGAATATGATGGAAAAACTCTGCCCCGAGCAGCTCACAGAGCGCGAGAAAGATATAGACAAGAGTTTGAAAGATCAAGAAATGATGAAAAAGTTTGACCAAGCACTTCTCAAGGAGACCCGAAAGATATACAGCGTGAGAGCATTTTGCCACGGAATCACTTTCTCCGCGTTTGTAGTCATTGTAAGTATGAACTCGCTACCTATCCCAATTATGTACACAATGTATATTTTGACGTTTTTTCTTTTTAAAATACATATCATAGTGTTTCAAATTAAATTTATTTTTATTTGCCATTCAGCATATTATTATTATTGGGTACAACTCACAGAAGTCGCCCCATCTCATCGGCCGCATCAATTCGTAGGGTATTACCTGGGACACTCCTATAGTCTAGGGGTGTCACGTCTTGACCATTTTAAGCACATCCACCACCGACGACAGCCACCGCTAACGAGCGTATAAATACGAAAACATCAATGATTCAATACTCACGAACGGTGGCGTTTCTTTGGCGCACACCCCCCCCCCCCAACCACCCATTCTCCCTTTGCAGTACTTCTTCTTTGCACATGGACGCCAGTGACATACTCACAACAACACGTTCCAGAAAAAAAACAGTCGTTCACAGAAAAGATAGTTGCCACAAGAAAGCTGTGCAGTTTCGTCTGAGAAAGTGCGTCGACCCGAATGAACCCAAACCACATTTCGGCACGCTGTGTATAGGCGGCGAAGGAAGACATCTCTAACACCCCTACAGGATTGGACAGCCCGTGGAAACCATTACGAAATCTCGCCTCCTACGAGATGGGGTGACTTTCGTGAGTAGTACGTATTATTATTATTATCATCGTTATCATCATTAATTGTAAGCATTCTGAAGACGCTTACACCAGCTGAGCTCCTAACCCCCGTTCCCACCTTGGACCATTTGGAAAAAAAAAGGCTTTAGCACTCCCCGGCCCCAATGTTTTGTTTGTGTTTGCGCACCTGTTATCCCATAATGTTTGGTCAGTCACGCCTTTTTGTGTGTGGGTATGTGTCAGGAGTTACCCCAACAAGCCTGACCTAAATCAGTGACGCTTATGCATTTACCGATGTTTTAACTAACGGACTGCATTATTATTAACAAAGGGGTGGGTGTTGTGGGGGAAAAAAAGGGGGGGGGGGGGGGGGGACACACAAAAACACACCAAAAGACGGGTATATGTATCATCTTCTTCTTCTTCTGCCTTTCTATCCCCCAATGGAGCATAGGCCCTCAACCAACTCACGCCAAGTCGTTCTATCCTTCGCCATTACATGGAGCTTTTCCCATGTCCTCCCAATCTTTCTAACCTCATTCTCCAGCTCTCTTCTCCATGTGTTTTTTGGTCTTCCTTTTTTTCCAGGTGCCAATTCTGGAGGTTTTCCTAGCTGAGAGGAGGTAAGTCAACGATCCGGACTCCTTACGGCTTTCTCCACACCGTGTCATACTTCTTCTATTTGAAGAGCCTCCCCTCATCTTGGTTGGCTGGATTTTATTTGCTTCTCTTTTTGACTTATCCATGGTTGGTTGGTTTTTGTGGCTATGGTTTTTACAGGATGAGGTAGCCAACCTCAAGCCCAACCCTACCCTTAGTCGCCTCTTACGACATGCCTGGTAGGGTTCAGTGTCACTATTCTTTGCTTCCTGTGAAGGCCCCGGTGACACACGGGCGATATGTATCATAGCTGACACATATGTCAAACTTCTAGCTTTCATGTTGACGCACCGATGATACCACACAGAGAACGGGGTGTCGATAATACCTACATTCTGGGTTTGTATTTAGGCTATGTACAATATGTGCAGCTGCACAGGTCGTCAATATTTTGAGGTCATCATAATTATAAGAGCGGCAAAATATAAGTAGTAGTTTCAAAAAAAAAATCTACATATATCTTTATTGATTCAATCATTATGAAAGTTTCATCTGTACTTCTTCTTCTTTTGACAAAATGTGCTTGTGCCGCTAGGTGTCGCAGTCTATCAGATGATCGGCAACCGAGCCAGGGCGCGCTCAGTCGCTTCATATGCCGTGATGTTATGAAGTCTCAAGTTGTCCGTGACTCCTTCAATCCATCTTCTTCTTGGTCTTCCCCTGCATCTTGTTGTTTCGATTTTCATGTTGTATGCTCTTGATGCTGGCATCGTTGGTTCCATTCTCATTAGGTGACCAAACCATTTCATTCTTTGCTTCTCAATAAATTTAACGATGGGTATGGTTCCAATAGTTCTTGTAATCACATCGTTTCTCACTCGATCTCTTCTGGTTTTATTCGCAGCCATTCTCAAACATCTCATTTCATAGGTGGTTAGTCTTCTCTCGTGTTCTTTTGTTAATGTCCAAGTCTGACATTGATAACCTAATGTCGGTATAAAGATTGTATTTATAATTCATCTGTACTTACTGTGCATTATTTCTCTAATAAGACCCAACACGCGCCATAAGTTTTATCTGTTGTATTTTCTGTTCACGGCCGACTCTATTTATAAAAAGCTCAGTTAAGTTTAAATACTTTTGTAAGGTTTTAAACCGAAGTTAATAATTCTACAAATTATTAGTAGTCTGTAACGCTGCTGAAGTTTAGCTAAAGTAAAAGGAAAACGTAAAATACCGCAGATATCGTAGCTTAGAGGTAAACCACAACGAAACACGCCAACGGTCCTTTTAGAGGCGAACCCAGAAAGAAAAGAAGAAGATCAGTCCATGTAGGCCTTCTATCTGTGTTGCAGACTAACATGTATGGTTTTGTCCAGACTGCATATCTGACGTGGTATTGGAGATTAAGTGAGCGAAGCTCATTCGCTGAGAAGCCTGTGAAGCTATGGAAACCCCATGACGTGAAAGCCTGGCTGGAAGACTTTACCTGGGCCCGGGAATATGCAAACAAAAGCATAGAAAGCAACACGGGTCAGTTTGTGTCTGCTTGTCTTGATGGTTTCTGAATTACCACTTAATTTAAAGTAGGTGCACGCACACTTTGGGAACAATGCAACTCAAGTTAGTATGGAACGTTATACACAGCCCGACAGTTAAATGATAATTAAATAATGTTGTAAAGATAAAAATTCTATCCGTGAAACAAAACATGTCATTCAAACAGACACCCTTTAGCTATGATTTGGCCAAATTATCAAAGTGTTACTGAGGTACATAAATTTATGAGAAGTCTGCTCTCTCATTTTCTGTATGCAGAGCTTTTCTTCAGCATGTGAAAATTACTATTCAGAACAGTGGTTCTCAACCTTTCGAATGCCGCGACCCTTTCTTACAGTTCTTCATGTTGTGGCGACCCTTTCTTACAGTTCTTCATGTTGTGGCGACCCTTTCATCCAGTTCCTTATATTGTAGCGACTCCCAAACATACAATTATTTTCGTTGCTACTTCATAACATCAACGAATATGGATTTTCCGATGGCCTTTGACGACCCCTCTTCGACCCCAAAAAAGGTCGCGACCCACAGGTTGAGAACCGCTGATCTAGAGACATACGAGCACTAAAATTAGCATTGTTAAATATTATGTATAATGAATCCTACTGAATTGTGCAGAGACCTGGACAAGCAACCCCAAAAAAGTACTGTCTCTAGAGATGTGGATATACAAAAGAATTTGTCGTATTTTATAGAAACTAAAACAATTAATTAGATAGTTTTCTTAAGAAAATAGGAATAAAGAGAGCAGTGGAGGCAAATTATGTCAATAGAGATATGTAAAATATTTCAACCAGTTTAAAAGACAAAACCCTTATAAAATTCACACTGAAAAAAATGTTGAAAATAAGTGAACAAGAGACAGACAGCATTACAAGAGACAGGCGAACAGAAGTTTAAGAGTGTGCATACGTAGCGAAAGACAGTCTGTTGATCTATTGCATATATACTAGCTATGTGGCCATAAATTGTTTTAATCTCCAGCGCCCCCACCTCCTTTAACCCCCCCTTCCTGCACCTCCCTAAAAATAGCGGCACCATAGGCAGTAAAGACAGGTCTCTTTTTATGCAGATGGAGGCAAGTTATTGGCCCTGAACGAGGAATCGCTGTTGGGGCTCTTTAATGTATCAGAACCCGCACACCAAGCTGCTCTTATGTCAGCTGTTGCAATACTTAAAGAACGAGATGTCAAAATGCCCGCAACACTTTGGGAATATAAGGTAAATATTTGTCTTATTATTCCTATGTTCTTTGTTATGTTTGATGGTGAACTCCAGGCCGGGAGAAGATCCCTAGGTGGACTGAAACACACACACACACACACGCTACAAGGACACTCTTAAAACGGCTCTCGAATCATTTGGCATCAAGACATAAACATGGGAGGCTGTCGTAGAAAACCGACCTGGATGGCGTAAAGTCCCCAGACGGCCAGACAGTGGAGGTTGCACTGGAAGAGACTCCTAGACAGATCAGAAAGAACCCAATCATTGATTATTTTTACGTCAGAACAGTGGTCGGCTCAACATAAGTGCAGCTCGGCCAGTCGGCCACAAATCGGTTTTGACTCCGAAAAACATAATCCTTGACAGGTTCTTGAAAAGACATGTTTTTTTTTAAAATCCTCCTGCTGCTTTTTTTTTTGGGGTGCTCTTTTGACTAATGATTTTGCCGACCACTGCGTTAGGACGCAAAGCGCATAAAAATACTGCTATGAAACATACACATATCATACATAACATAAGTATAAATAATTGATGGTTATTATTATTATTAGTAGACTACTACAACATATAATTATACTGTTTTTTAATAATTAGTAAACAAGCACAATCAGTATGAAATTGATATGTGCAATACTTTTTTCACCCAGAGTAGTTTTCTTAACAGTACTTATAGCACTACTAAATATGTATCCTCGAGGTACAAACAGCAAAAACAAATTTGTCCAGTTTCATCTTGTTGGATGAAATGCATTCCTTACCATTGCGAATTTTTTGGTAACAAATATGCATAGAAAGTGGATGAACAACCAGAAGTTTCCGCAAGAGTTTACAGCCTGTGTTCGCGAAGCAAAGCAAAAGCCAGTTTACAAAAATTAACACAGACCGTAGAACTGCAAATATGCAAAAGAAGTGGATGAGCTACCATTAGTTTCTGCAAGAGTTCATATAATTATACTGTTAGTCAACAATTAGTAAAGAGGCAAAGAGTGACTTGCTGTGAGAGGTTAGTGAGTAAATAAAATATTGTTTTTATGCACTTACTCAGAGCTCCGAAATATCTTGACACAATTTATCCACAGTGTGGTTGCACCATTTATGCACAGTCAATATGAAAGCAATAGTTTTCTTCCAACACAAGATATTTTTCACCTGACAACTGTCGATATTCTACAGATATGGCTTCTAAATTACATGTTTGTATTTTCTCCAAAAGTAAGATTTCTACATTCAAAGTAGAAAAAGAATAAACAGCCAGTTCCCAAAAATCTAAACTACTGACTAGAAACAGTGACACACACATCACAACACGACTGACTGCCGTGAATTTAATTCAAATTGCTTTTATTTAACAGCAAAGTTTGAAAATCTTGTATATCCACTTCACAATATCCGCTTGTCGATTTGTAATACGAATACATTCAGAACACAGAACTTTGTAAGCACTTTAAATTTGGCACACGATGCAACACGGAAACGCTTCCAGTAATCAATTTTCGAGGGGACTCCGCCAAAATGTACCGTAATTTAGTTGGAAGGACCTATATACAGAAGGACCTGCTCATGACTTTTTTGACGAAAACACACGTTCTCTGTTAGGTCTTTCACGTGTCACCTCTACAGTGTTGCTGCGATTCCCACCACACACTGTCTCTTGTCTAAGTTACATACTCTGTTAGGCTGCTGTTCGTCCATCTCTTGATCCTGTCTTCCCGCGTGTATCATTGTCTACCTCTTGCTCTCTTGCCTTCTACGTTGCCTTTCAGTGTGGATTTTAGAAGAATGTTATGTTTATAACGTGGCATAAATATTTCAATCGTTTCACACACACACACACACATACACACACACACACACACACACATACACATACACATATACACACACATATATATATATAATCTCTCAGCACCTCTCTTTTTGTTCTCTGTTTGTTCACAACATTTTCAGAACGCAAATGTATGTATATACAGTACATACTCTTCTTGATTCAAATGTTATAGTTCTCCATTATTTAGTTTTGCTTTGCCTGCCGTCCCCATAATGTTGGCAGAATATAGTGGGTTTATGGACAGCGCCATATGCTCAGTAGTATGAAAGTTGATTTTTCTTTACACGTACACAAAAGGCACTTTTCACTCGAGAGTTAATTGCTTCATGATTACTTTTGATTCAGATTTAAAGATTGAGCTAACGCATTTAATTTAAAAATATACTTTTTGTATCAGTTTAAACCCCCCCCCCCCCTTTTTTTTTTGGGCTCCCTCTTTCTTCCCCCGTGTATTTTTTTAAAAACTGGGGTTGAAGAGGTCTAAGCGCACAAGTTTCAATGGCTATGGCGTTTAGTAGATGCAATTGCTATTGCATGGTCGGCTCCCCATACACTTGTCGAAATCAACACAAATCGGCCTGCCTCACATCGCCTGCAGCTGGAATGGAACCGGCTATTTCAGAATTACGAAGTGTGTTCCAAACATCTAAACCATTTTTTTTTTACATTTCCAGAAGCTATTTCCTGGTCGGTGTCTGTTTCTTGCCCATGGGATGAAAGCATTTCCAAGAGCCACTATTTTGAGTCTGTGGATGTACTTCTATGAAGACATGTTTGTACCTTTAGTGAAACTTACCACAGATACAATACAAACAGGCATAGAGGCGGCGCATAACACCAGCTTTGAAAGTTCACCTTTTTCTGTAAGCATAATTTTTTCTTCTTCTTCAAATTAGTATCATATTCACATGTGATTCCCAGTGTGGATTCGGGGGTCCCACTGTCTGCCGCCTCCATAAGTATGTCTAACAAGCAGGATCTGTAAAACGGATGCACACGCAAAACTCAGATAGTAGAACAAAGCCAAAGTACAGAAACTGAGAACAACCAGGTCTTTTCAACATAGGTTTACAGCCGGTGAACGCAAACAACAAACAAAAACATATTCACATTATAAGTTGATGTTGTTTGGATGTGTTTTATGGTGGAATGTTGTTGTTTTTAAGTCAGCTTTATGTAGGGGTGTTGCAAAATTATAAGGACACTGCAGTGGTAAGATTTTTTTGAATAAGGACACAATGTACAGACAGTAAACATAATGAACGACTTACACGGAAAACGGACTACTCCCTAAGCTAGTGTATTCTTTCCTTGGTTATGTTAGTTGCGGATCCTTTACATGACGTTGCAGAACCAAACCCAACAGCCCCTGGCTGTTGTGCCTGGCTGTTGTGTGGTTTTTCTAGGCAGATTTACGTCCAGTAGTTTGCCACTGCTTCTGGACGGTCGGCTTTCTTGAGACCACTGTTGAAACCAACGCAGGGCGCATGGCCGGCAGCTGGGATCGAACCCGGCATTACGAAGCGTTCGCATCAACTTAGCCACAGAGCCGACTCATTCTTTCGTTGACTGTTGGAAAATATGAGTACATTATGGCAACAGGAAAACCAAAGGAGGTCGGGGCGAGGGAGACCTTGAGATTAAGTTAGCCAGTCTGATGTCTTGAAAGAACATCTGTACCAGAAATACGTGTGCATTTATTTGTCGTGCACGTTACCTTTATTCAGAGCAAACAACCCTTATACACAGGCATGCCGAAATCGGACTCATTTCTCAGTCTCTTGGCTGGATCGGTCAGGCGGCAAATACAAACAAAGCACAAGCGAAACAGTAGGGCGGTCTGTTGTCTTGGTGCCTGGGTAGGGCTCAAGAGTCACCGTGATGCCAAGCTGATGCTTTGGGACACACCTGGCACAAAGGGAACAAAGTTTAGGTTAAAGTCGAGAGTATCGACTTCAATTGCACAGGGTTTTATCCAATATGCCCCGGTCTCTCTCTGCAGAACGGCTAGCCACCTGTCGCGAATGCCACACGGAGCACGAACCCCGTAGCTCCGGCGACGATCCACAGGGATCTCATCTCTGTAAAAATTGCGATGGTGAACTGAACGGCGCGGCCGTAAAACGAACCCAAGACCTTTAGAAAGCGAAACAAAAGACTTGACCACTTCGCCACGAAAACCCATAACAAAAGTGAGTAGATAGGTGCACAGCTAGACGTGATACAATTGCTCGGGAAGAAAAACACGTGGGGCAAAAATTAAATAAGATAACATGCTTGCAAACCACTTTATAATCATAATACATACCGGGATGCATATGTGCTGAACCATATATGGTGCACCAGGACTATAGGACTGTTCTTAACTGATCTACACCTCTTCACAGTCATCTTAAAAATGGGTTCCGAGATCGATGGTTCCGTCGAAATCGGAGTGTACCTGCGTGAGAGGCGAGGAATCAGCAGTCTGCACACAGATGAGTCAGTTCTGTTTAAAAAAAAAAGGATTTACTCGCAACACTCAAGTCTTGGAAAAAGACCGAAGTTCAGAACTGGACGAAGAGTCAGGACTTTCCGTCGGAATTTATAGCCTCCCAAGAAGACGATGAACCTTGCTGGATCTTCTGGGCGAATGTTCTTGTTAATTAAATAAACTGTGTTGCGTGCACATACCTTTTACAGATTTGTGGCTTCATATGATGCGATCACCAGAACCATGGATCTAATCCGCAGGTTTGCCCCGCCATGTCATGTAGTCAAGCCATCCAGTTATTTATCTTTTTGTCTGTCCCTTGATCTTTCTACGTCAAATTTTACCCATTGTCACAAAGTTTTCAAACTTTTTTGTCCCGATGAAATGCCCGCTTTTCCAGGAGACTGAAATCAAAACTTCTCAATGGGTGAGCTTCGTGTTCTATTCGCTGATGCTGCCACAGTGGATCGTGGTTACCGCAGCTTACCGGGTGATAACGAACGACAGTTTTACTCTGATGATGATAATTATGAACGCCATCCTGATTCAGGTTTTAGAGATCCTATGGATGAAATCTTTCTTCAGCGGTAACTGGGAAGAGAGGTAATTTGATGTTTGTTTACCGTAATGGCTTATATATAATAAAACCGTAAGACGTGCAGGCAGACAGATGAATGATCAAATATACAGATAGATGGGTAAGTGAGTGAGTTTTCGGATGGACGTTCGTTCGGTTGGATGAAAGGATGGGCAGATAAATAGATAGACAACAGACAAGTCGGTGAATTTATTGATATCTCAATTTTAAAATGGTCTTCTTAAAGAGAAAGAAAGAGCCACTGGAAAAAAAATTAGGACAATTTGGAAGTTTGCACGGATGGTAAGCGCTTTGTCAAAATGTTAAATTCAAAATTTCAAGCAGGCTTGAGTAGATCAGCTTCCATACTTGTAAACTCCCCGTGTGGGTTCCGGGGCCCTATTATAGAGAAAACAAGAATAGACACATTGCCCAAAAGCATGTCGTAAGAGTCGACTAATTGGAAGCTTCGTTCAAAGTCAGAGTGCATCTGCCTGAGAGGCAAGGAACCAACAGTCTGCATACAAATAAGTCAGATCTGTAAAACGGATGCACACGCAACACTCAGGTTCTGGAAGAGGACTGCAGTCCAGAAGTGGATGACCAACCAGAACTTTCCGCCAGAGTTTACAGCTGGTGACCGCGAAGATGAAGAAGATACTTGTATACTTATAACTATAATTTATGAAAATATTTTGTTTCCCCAGGGACATCACTCACAGTCTTTTGAGTTATGGAAAGCACCTGTTGCTGGCCTTCACATGTATGGTTATCTGGCCAATCATTCCCAGGTTTTTGTGTGACCTCGTATTTTACTGCGCTTTGTATATACGGCCATTCATAATGTGTAGAGCAGTATATTTAAAGTTGGGACTACCGAATATTCGATTGCAGATAATGCGTTGAACTTTACAAAGCATTTAACAATGAAATGCACATATTAATAAAAATAAATTTGTCTTAGAATCAACAAATATCCTTTTACTGTTATTATTGTTGTATTATTGTGTTGTAATTCATTTCGTTACCGATTCGTACAATAAACCAAAACAAAAGCAACATATCAATGCTTGAAAATCAGTTATTCTAACAACATAACCCACCATATTTCCTCTTGTTTTTGTTCTTCTTTTTCATCATCATCATCATCATCTTCTTCTTTTTCCTCTTCTTCTTCTTCTTCTTCTTCTTCTTCTTCTTCTTCTTCTTCTTCTTCTTCTTCTTCTTCTTCTTCTTCTTCTTCTTCTTCTTCTTCTTCTTCTTCTTCTTCTTCTTCTTCTTCTTCTTCTTCTTCTTCTTCTTCTTCTTCTTCTTCTTCTTCTTCTTCTTCTTCTTCTTCTTCTTCTTCTTCTTCTTCTTCTTCTTCTGAACTCACACCCACCCGCCCTAGAAGATTTGTACCCAACCATGTACAAACGACCTATTTTTAGGTATATGTTTATGCATTTAATAATATTTTAAATATATTGTTATACTTATTTGCCACTTAGCACATAATGCTAGGGACCCTTTTCCGCACCCCTAGACCCACTGGGTATATATTGCTAAAATATATTTTATAAACCATTGGGCACTCGGTGGGTGATATGTTCAGCATCCCTCAGGAAAATAATAATGTTAATCATTATTATTGCGCACTTTAACAATTCTAAAGTCCATTGAGGCTCTAGAAAACTATAAAAGGGCCGGGCCTCTTCCATCATCACCCTCAATTATTTCTTGTTGCGGCGCCCCTGCCTAACACCTATTCCCAAATTACCAGCTGCTTCACATGCTCGCCGCGTCTCCATTTATAGCACACAAAAACATCAGGCGTGGAATTTGATATCTGGTCCGAAGTGTGGCCCTAGAATATTGATTTACTCTGTTTGGTAGACGAACAGATGTTTGCGGTAGGATGAGATGTTCATCAGCCATAAGTCAAGCTGTCTCTGCATTAGCTGTGTCCCCAGCCTATGTCTTTACATTTGTGGGATTTTGTTCTAGCTGTGTTGGGGTCTGTATAACATAGTATGTATATCACTTTACATCATTTGGCTACAGCAACAGCTGTTGTTCCGATTAGATTTGTATCTAAGCGAATTGATTGCTTAGTCATTCAAGATTTCTCCTGTTCCATGTATTACTCCTATTTTTCCTTACTCCTCGTTCTCTTTCTCCTTCTTCTCCTATCCATCCTTTCCCTCCTCCTCTTTGTTTTTTATCATCATCGTCATCTTCTTCTTCTTTTTTTTCTTCTTCTTCTTCTTCTTCTTCTTCTTCTTCTTCTTCTTCTTCTTCTTCTTCTTCTTCTTCTTCTTCTTCTTCTTCTTCTTCTTCTTCTTCTTCTTCTTCTTCTTCTTCTTCTTCTTCTCATCCTCGTCTATTTCTCCCCCATTGTCTGCAAACAAATAAGCTAATTCTGATTGCCTCAGGTGCTATTGTATGGTGCTATTATCAGGTGCTATTATACGGGATCCCTTGGATCCAAACGCTTATCACTTTAAGCAGCACAAGCTAAAGAAATGTGGAGTTAAATAAACACAAATCAGTGACCGAAAGAGTAAAATCACCCACAGAGATATACTTATTTGAAGTAGAGGAACAAGTGATTTGGTCATCTTGTTAAAATGCAGTCACAAATACCAACACAGGCATTACCATTACATTTTTTTTATGTGAGAGCACAAGGCCGCTCGGGAAGATGGACGTTATACATCCATACGTCTAATGGGGTCACACTGTGGGGGCAAAAAGAATAGACTCACTGCCTCACTTACAAGCATGTCGTAAAAATCGACTAATTATGAGTGCTTCCTTCGAACTCAAGAGTGCTTCTGCTGGAGAAGAGATAAAAAAGCAGTCTGCATACAAGTACGCCAGACCTATAAAACGGAAATGCACACAGAACTTGACTTCTGGTATAAGACTATAGTTCATAAATGGAAAAACAACCAGGGCTTTCCGCTTGAGTTGACAGCTGGTAAAAGCTAAGAAAAAGAAAGAAGCACACCCACACGCAATAGCGGTGTCTAGCTACGGACCGCAAACTGTTCCTCCCTCGCTTTTGAGGCGCCTTAGGAGAAGAGCGCGGTCAGGGGCCAGAAGTAAATTCATTCAGCCACCATAGAAAACTTTAAATGTGCACCAAGCATGGGGAAAGGGTAAAAGGGAGTGGTGTCCTCTGCGCAGAGTGGATAGCATCACTTGTTAAGACCCGGATCAGAAACATATTATGGACGTTCTGTCCAGGGGATTCAGGAGTACGAAGTAACGAGCAGGCTGACAGATTAGCTGCTGCTGCTCCTCTGTGCTATGAGCTACTGTATGATAAGCGGCAGTTATACAAAGGGAGACAATTCCCTAAAATACCATGTGGAAGAGGTCGCTCTGAAGAAAGGGAAAGGACTCAATGCTTTGAAGGTGATGACATCAGTGGACATGGGACATAAAATGCTATATACACTCTACCAGAAACTGATTATTTCGGTGATGAAGTATGGTTTAGGACTGCTATCATTATCTCATACCCAAATAGAAAAGGTGGAACGCCTGCAAAATGAAGCCATGCGAGTCATTTTGGGATGTACAAGAGACACGCTAATTGTGTGCATGCAGCACATAATCAGCAATAGTATTTGCAAGATAGTAAGTTTTACAGGCGAAAATGTTGTATCTTAAAGTCGCAACAGATAGACATTAGACCTTAGAGGATAGCAAGGAACCTAATGAAAAGAGGCAGCTCTTGGATGGCATAGACAGAAGTCACGATCAGGACTGTTTGTGCTATACTGACTAGAGAGCGCATAATGAAGTATCGGTAACTGCCGAGAAAAACGACTAGCATAGTGATAGTTACTTTGGACCGAGGGCGCGTGGAATGGATAGCTGGTGAAAAATAGTCAGCGGTGCAAGAGCTGATCAATGAAAATTCACACCCAGATGGCATCATAACATATACAGATAGGTCTGTAATGATAAGTAAGAGATGTAGGTGGGGTTTTATTGCAAAATGAATGGACACTGAAAACAGATAACCTCGCGTACAACGTCACAACATCTAGTATGAGAACTGAGGTTGAGGCGGTAACAGCAGCTATACGATGGCTTGAGAACAGCACAGCCCGACATGTTGTAATTGTAAAAGACTTACATAGCATGCTTTGGCAATTGAAACTGGTGTCCTCCGCGCAGAGTGGCTCGCATCACTTGTTAAGAATGAGATCAAGAGCATATCATAGATTTTTTTTCCATGAGATTCAGGGGTGCGAGGTAACGAGCAGCTGACAGATTAGCTGCTGTCGCTCCTCTGTGCGATGAGCTACTTATGATAAAGCGGATGGGGTGAAGGCTCTGTGGGATCAAATGGAAACTGCAATATAACAGATAGAGAATCCATACACTGAGAGACTCATTCAACCGGGAGGGGTGTAGAAGTTTTGGAAGATGTTTAACACTGAGGGGGAAAAAGACTCGGACTTTTAATTAAATAGGTTGCAACTGGCACTATAAGCATGTCCAGCTATTAGCGGCTATTGAAGACGTTGACTGAGCACGTATTGGGAATTTCCCGAGTGCAGTGATTTAAATTAATTAGCGTTCACCTGCTGTAAACTATGTCGGGAAGTTCTGGTTGTTCATCAACTTCCAGACATTTGTTTCACAGGTATATTTTTGCACATCTCTTTACAGATCTAGTTTATCTGTATACATAATGCTGGTTCCTCGCACATCAAGCGGATGTAGTCAGGCTATGAAAAAAAAACACAACATCTAATTAGTCGCCTTTTACGCCATGCTCTTTAGGAGGTAGAAGTCAGGTAACCCCCGCCTTAAGCACGCGAGATAAATGAATAAAAACACGAATGACGGTAAACCTCACCAGGACCGCACAACGAGCGATTAACATCGGGTGACACAAAATGCCACCATAAGAATGAGAAGCACATGAGCACAAGTTCAAGAAACCCTGTTCAACTGTTATACTAGGACCTCTAACGACATCCGGGGTTGGGGCTTTCAAATTAAAAAAAAAAAACTGCCTCCCGTATTAGGGCAAAATTTAAATGAAAAACGTAGTAGTAGTAAATTTTATCCTACCAGATCATCACACAGAGCGATAAACACCTGGTGACACAAAGTGCCACCATGCGGATGAGGACCACAATTGTAGAGGTCCCATAAACCGCGTTCAAACGTCAGGCTATATTGCGGCTCTGGGCAAAAGCCGATGTGGGGCTTCAAAATATCAAAAAATTGTGTCCCTCAAGGGTACGACCTTGGTGAGTGAGTGTGAAAGACTTTCTACCCCACTAGGACATCACACAAGCGATAAACACCCGATGACACAACGTGCCACCATGTGGATGAGGATCACCGTGGAGAGGTCCCAGAAACCGCGTTCAGACATTTGGCCATTTTTATGGCCTGCCTATATTGCGGCCCCTGGCAAAAGCCAGAGTGGGGCTTCAAATAACAAAAAATTACGTCCTGAAAAGGACGTAAAGACTTGGTTGTATTAATTATACGTACGTAAAGGTAAAGTCGGAAGATGTGAACTAGCGTCATTGCACACGGTTATAAACCATAAGTGCTCTGCCACAAATACGGAGAGCTGATAAGAAACTGTCCGCACGCAACTCCGTAGCTACAGCGACGTTCCTCCATTTACCCCAGAGCGATAACTCTGGTACCCATTACCTAGAGGCTGGGTGAAACCCAGGAACCGCCCCGTTTCGAACACCGGCCGTCGGCTGCAGCGAGTCGCAGCTGGATTTGAAATACGTAGGAATCCAGTTCATTTGTTACGGGAAGGTAAAATCAAACCAAACACAACATTTGATCACTACTTTGTTGTCAACAACACATGAGCAACATGGCAAGACTTCCCCATTCTGGGTAGGATATCAATATAATGACTTTTCACG